AGGGGGAGTGGGAGAGGGAGAAGCAGGCTTCCTGCTGAGCAGGGAGCCTGATGCGGGGCTCGATCCCAGGACCCCAGGATCATGACCTGAGCTGAAGGCAGACGCCTAACTACTGAGCCACCCAGGCGCCCTATTTTATTTATTTTTTTAAGTAAGCTCCACACCCCACATGGGGCTTGAACTCATGACCCTGAGATTAAGAGTTGGTTGCTCTTCCAACTGAGCCAGCCAGGTGCCCCATCAAGATGTTCCTTTTTAACTTTTACCTAAAATAAAGCAAGTATTGCTATATCCTCAACATGTATCTTCACATCAGTAGTAAGCATAAGAATTTATCCTGTAAAATTATAGTTAAATTTAAGTTTGTACTTTGATGTAAGAAATGGATTCCAGATCCGTGGTTTCCTGCGCATGGATCTTCTTTTTGATAGATATTGAAATTCAAAACATTCCATCAAATTCTTAAGGTACTTGGTACAGTATCAAGGTCGTCACTTACTTTGTTGATAATTATTCATAAACTACTGGGATGCTTTTCTTTTTCTCATTATTACTAATCTCATTGATTAGTACCTGATGACCTAAGTGCCTATCATGATTAAGAGGTCAGATTCTGGACTCAGACTGTCTGGGTTAAAATCTCAATTGGACTGCTAACTACCTTTATGTCCCTGAGCAGATTGCTCGTCCTCCTTGTGCTCCATTTTCTCATCAATCACATGCAAAGTCAAGAGGACTTATCTCCCAGGGTTGTCATAATGACTATCTAAGGTAAAATGTATAAAGCTCTTACAGCGGTGCCTGTCACACAATAAAAGCTTGGGGAAAGTTTGTTGTGTTGTTACTGTTACTCTTGTTACTGTTGTTTTTTTGAGACTCTCTGAATTTTGCAGCAAACAGCTCTGCACTGGAGTGCCTACTACAATAACCCTGAGCACGTAAAGCTGCTTATCAAGCATGACTCCAACATTGGGATTCCTGACGTTGAAGGCAAGATCCCACTTCACTGGGCAGCCAACCACAAGGATCCAAGTGCTGTTCACACAGTACGATGCATTCTGGTGAGTACAATGGTGCTGCTAACCTTTCCAAAAAACAATTTTTTTTATGAGATAGCCAGTACACAAAAGCAGATCTACAACACACAAATAAATTATGAAGCAAAAGAAATAACAGCACATGGAAACCCATCACTCAAGAAATAGAACATTTTAGTGCTACTATTTAAGACCACATAGAATTTCCTATGTGCCAATTTCTTTTTTTCTTTTAAGATTTATTTATTTATTTATTTGAGAGAGAGAGAGAGAGAGAGAGTGAGGGGGTGAGCAGAGGGTGAGAGAGAGAGTGTCCCAAGCAGACTCCATGCTGAGCACAGAGCCGACTGGCGAGCTCAATCTCACAACCCTGAGATCACGATCTGAGATGAAACCAGGAGTCAGAGACTACTGACTGCACCACCCAGGCACCCCTCCTATGTGCCAATTTCCAAATACATTCTCTCCCCCTGTGCCTTGCTTGCCCTGTCCCCCATCAACTACTTTCCTGAATTTGTGTTTATCATCCCCTGACTTTGTTTTGTACTTGTGCTTATTAAATACTGCATGGAGATAACATTTGTAAAATACTGGTAAGATATAAAGAATATGGAAACCACAAATACTCATGTACTCATCTCTGAGTTTATTTATTTATTTATTTTTGACAAAGAGCATGCGAGCAGGGGGCAGGGAGGGGGCAGAGGAAGAGAAAGAATCTTAAGCAGGCTCCACACCCAGCATGGAGCCCGACACAGGGCTCAATCTCAAGACCCTAAGTTCATGACCTGAGCCGAAATCAAGAATCCCACGTTTAACTGACTGAGCCACCCAGGCGCCCCTCATGTCTGAGTTTAAAAATAAGTATGTTACCGTTACCTTTGAAGCTCCCTGGGTACCTCCCAGCACCATTCTGTTCTCCCCTTTCTGAGAAGCAGCCACTCTCCTCAATTTCATGTTTATCACTTCTGATTTTCATTATATCTTACCACATATATTTATATTCCTAAACAATATATTATTTCATTTTTAATGTTTTTGAATTTTGTATACGTGGAATCACATTGAATGTCTTCTTTTGTAACATGTTTTTCTTGCTCAATATTATGCTAGTGATTTTATCTATGCTGTGTATAACTGTAATATGTTATTTTTTACTGTTATATAGTATTTCCATTTTATGAACAAGCCATGCAGTATTCAGTTATTCATAGACATTTGGAACTATTTCTAGTTTTTCGCTATTTAAAAATAGTGCGGCTTGGGGCGCCTGGGTGGCTCAGATGGTTAAGCGTCTGCCTTTGGCTCAGGTCATGATCCCGGGGTCCTGGGATGGAGCCCTGCTCAGCGGGGAGCCTTCTCCCTCTCTCTCTGCCTCTCCCCCTGCTCATGCTCTCTCTCTCTCTGTATCTCTGTGTCTCGAATAAATAAAATCTTTAAAAAAAAATAGTGCTGCTTTGGGGTGCCTAGGTGGCTCAGGGAGTTAAGTGTTGGACTCTTGATTTTGGCTCAGGTTATAATCTCAGGGTAGTGAGATTGAGCCCCTGGAGGGGCTGTGCACTCAGCGGGGAGCCTGCATGAAGATTCTCTCCCTCTGCCCCTCCCCCCATTAGCACTCACTCTGTCTTTCTCTCTCTCTCTCAAATAAATAAATAAATAAATCTTTAAAAAAAAATAGTGCTGCTTTGAACTTTTTTTTTTTTTTTAGGTTATCTCTGCAGCCAGCATGGGCTCTACTGACTGAGCTAGCCATGTGCCCCTGAACTTTTTTTTTTTAGCATGTCTAGGATATATATTTAACTGCTTGTTGCAGGTGCATAGAAAGGCAGTTGATATTTTTATTCATTGAAAATGCATCAAAAACAAAAAACAAAAATGCATCTAACCAACTTGCTATACTTTCTTATTAATTTTGAATATTTATCAGTGGATTCTTTGAGGTTCCTAATCACTCCTCAAATTCCAGCTTACAAGCTTTGGTAGTCTGATATTTAGTTCTATTTGCTTATAACACACGAATTAGATTTTAGATAAAATTATTTTGTATAATGCAATAGTTATTTCTCAACTCTTTTGGGCTATTATTTTGCTTCTTTCTGCCTCTCATTGTTCCTCTGGAGGAGTCTGTTATTGGTCTAATTGTCATTAATTTATAGATGATCTATCTTTTCTCTCAGGCTGCTTTTAAATTCTTCTCTGTGTGGCATCCTGCAGTCTCACTACAGTGCGTCTAGGGATGGTGCTTTTTAAAAAAATTTTTTTGGTCCTATTTGGTGTATACTCTTATTGCATGTCAGTTCTGGAAAATATATAGCTGTTACCTCTTTAAATATTATCTCTCTTTCATTCTCTATATTCTTGCCTTTAGGGTCCCAGTTACACATATTTTAGACCTTTTCATTTTATTATCTGTGTCTCCTCTCTTCTACATTCCATCGCCTCGTCTCTTTTGCTGTGTTCTGGGTAGTAACAGATGTGCCTTCCTGTAGACCAAGACTTCCCTCCACTGAGTCCACTCTCTTGTTTGCCCTCTTCATTGAGCCTCTAATCCTAGTGATTATATTTTTACATCTAAAAGTTCTTTTTGGGGGGCACCTGGGAGGTTCAGTCAGTTAAGCGTCTGCCTTCGGCTCAGGTCATGATCCCAGGGTCCTGGGATGGAGCCCGGCATCGGCCTCCCTGCTCAGCGGGGAGCCTGCTTCTCCTTCTGCCTGCCACTCTCCCTGCTTGTGCTTGCTCTCTCTCTCTGTGTCAAATAAATAAAATCTTTTAAGAAAATAAAAGTTCTTTTTGTTTTGTTTTGTTTTCATGTCTGCCGGGTCTTTTTGATAGTTTTTGTTCCTTGAATCACTTTTTATTTCATTATTTTCTTAACATGCTTTATAGATAGTTATTTTATATTCTTTATCTGTCAGTTCCATTATCTGAAGTCTTTAGGGGATACTTGTCACTCATAATATCTTATTTCCTCACAGATTTGGCTTTTTTTTTTTTCCCCTTGTAAACACATCTTAGTCCTTAGGAGACTCAAAGGCCTAAAATACCACCGTGGTAAAATTCTACTTCTCTTTTTTAAAGTGTGTATAATACCTTTCATGCACTTGTTTTATAAAATAGGATGACTGTACAGGCAGCTCTAAATCTGGGGTGGCTCTTTGGAGAGTTCTCAAATTGGGGCAGGAGGTCTTGGCTTTTGGATATGACCTGACATGGGAAGGAATACGACCTTGCATGAGGCAACTCTTTAGCTGAAGCAATCACAAAAGTCTGATTGTTGAGGGTCATCTACCGGCAGCACTCACAGCAGCTAGGGAAATAAGTCCTTTATTCTTGAAAGGGGACCTAAGCAGTGGATACACAGACCTCATAGAAAAATGAGTAAATGTGAACTGTCAATTTAAACAGAATAGCTAATAAACATATGATAAATCCCAACCTCATTCATAAAATAAATACAAATTAAAACATCAGAAAATGCTTTCCACACCTATATGGGAAAAAATGTAGTAAGCTTGATAATACCAGGAGGTGAATTTGTGCCAGCATGTGGGGAAATAAAAACTTTTACACATTGTCATGGAAGTGTTAGTGTAACCATTTGGAGAGCAGTTTGATAATACCTAGTTGAAAATGTAAATATCCTTCTACTCAGCAATTCCCCTGCAAGGTGTCTGAGCTAGAGAAAAATCTCATACATGGGCTACAGGGAGACCTGTAATGGAAGCATGTTCATGCAGCATTATTGTTAATAATAGGGAAAATGTAAATAACCTAACTGTCCCTCAGTAGGAGAATGGATAACTAAATTGTGGTTTAACAAATGAACTAGTATTAACATAAATACCCAAAAGTATAGTGTTGAAAGAAAAAACTGCCAAAGGATATACATAGTATAAACTCAAAGGTGTAAATATTGAAAACATCCATACATAATTTATGTATTGTTTATGGATGCACACATATGTAACAGAAGTACAAAACATACAGCTTTAACTGAATCCATAGTAGATACAAAAGCACATTAGGCAAGATATTGACACCTATTCAATCTGGATAATCAGTATTAGTATTTATTGTATCTTTTCTGCATTTTTTAGAGTTAAACATGACAAATTTTTAAAGACTTAGAATGTGTGATTTTTTCTGAATTTACCACTTTGTGCTAAGAATATACAGGTTTAGGGGCGCCTGGGTGGCTCAGTTGGTTAAGCGACTGCCTTCGGCTCAGGTCATGATCCTGGAGTCCCGGGATCAAGTCCCACATCGGGCTTCCTGCTCAGCAGGGAGTCTGCTTCTCTCTCTGACCCTCTTCCCTCTCGTGCTCTCTATCTCTCATTCTCTCTCTCTCAAATAAATAAATAAATAAAATCTTTAAAAAAAAAAAAAAAGAATATACAGGTTTAGAAAATTGCTCAGTTAATGCGTTTGTCCAGTGTGATTTACTGAGGATTCCATGTGTATCTGAAGTCTCTGGTTCCTTAAAAATAGGATGCTGCTCCCACGGAGTCTTTACTGAACTGGCAAGACTACGAGGGTCGGACACCTCTTCACTTCGCAGTCGCCGATGGGAATGTGACAGTGGTTGATGTCTTGACCTCATACGAAAGCTGCAATATCACATCTTACGATAACTTGTTTCGAACCCCGCTGCACTGGGCAGCTTTACTAGGTGAGATAACTGTGAATCAAAGGATCAACGGTAGGAGGAACTACATGAATACCAGAAACTTTCCATGGCTTCCGTTCCCCTGTCAGCATCCACAAAAAATTTTTATTTTTTATTAACACATAATGTATTATTTGTTTCAGGGGTACAGGTCTGTGATTCATCATCTTACACAATTCACAGCGCTCACCATAGCACATAACCCTCCCCAGTGTCCATCACCCAGCCACCCCATCCCTCCCACCCCCCTCCACTCCAGCAACCCTCAGTTTGTTTCCTGAGGTTAAGAGTCTCTTACGATTTGTCTCCCTCTCTGGTTTTGTCTTGTTTCATTTTTCCCTCCCTTCCCCTATGATCCTCTGTCTTGTTTCTCAAAATCCTCATATCAGTGAGATCATATGATACTTATCTTTCTCTGATTGACATATTTTGCTTAATTTTTAATTGATATGTGGCATCTCATACTTAAATCCCTCTGTCGTACACTTAAATTTTAGTAATATAAATATATTCTCTGTTATATATTGGTTTTAATTTCAACATAATGCCTTAACGTGTTTTAATTTTTATTTTAAAAGTAATGCACATTCATCAACAAATGTAAATATAAAATAATCTTTTCACATTCAATACCTGTGTGTTTTGGGAGGGGACTTTAATCTTATGTCTGTGCCAATACTATGATATGTGATTTTTTTTTCTTCATATTTTCTGATAAGCCTCTTTCTTAACCTTTTTGGGGACCACTCTGTTAGATGAGAGACTGTAAGTACGTGTATGTGTCTGATTTTTCAGGGGATGCAATCTGAGATTCTTTCTCTTTTAGTGAAGGAGGTTTACCCATTAATAGTCACTGTTATAAGATATAATTTGGTCTTTTTTCTGCTATTCTGCTCTTTGAGTATTATGGTTGTTTTGGTTTTTTTCTTATTTTGGGGTTGGTTTTTTTTTCCCATTTCCTTAATGTTTTCTGCCTTTTGGTATATAGATTAGGTTTGTTGTTTTTTGGTTTTGAATTGCCTAATGTTTTAGGAGGGTTTTTAGGTTCTACTAGTGGTTACTTTTAAATTTATCAAAAATGTTTTAAAACATGAGTCAGAGTTAAGAGCAAAACTACATCTATTGATTTCCACTTAGCATACTTATCACTTTTTTAGTATTTGTTAATATAATCTGAAGTTTTTCCCAATTATTATTATGGACTTTGTTTTTAAATTACACACTGTGTCTTTCTAAAATACTTTTTGCATTTGCATTCAGTTTTATTGTCAGGTTTATAATTATTATTTAGATCTCATTTCAGTGTTCAGTTTCATCCCTTTTTCCTTTTCCTCCGCATCCTGGGAGGACTTCACAAGTTTGTCTCCGTATCAGTACATTGACTTTTTGTTCCGTAAGTTCTGCTTTCTTTCTGCCTCTCATCGATTGTATTTTAGGTTGTATTTTGATTTCCTTCTCTCATCCAGATTTCTTTGTATCTTGGCTTATTTCCTGTTCACCTCCTTCCATCACCTTTTCATTTCAGATTATGTCCTTCTTAGGATATTCTGTTTCATTTCATAGAGGCCATCTCTTTGCACAAGTCAAGGATGCCAGACAGTTTCCTGAAATTTTCCTCTGGATCCTTCTCTAGATCATTTTCTGAGGTATGCGCTTCATCTTTGTGGTGGTGGTCCTTTTTCCCTGTCCCATGGTATGTTTTCATATTGCCCTTACAGTATTTTCCTCGTTATCCCTCTAACAAGATGGCATGTGTCTCAATAGCTTGCCTGTGATCCTACTTTTCACCTGTCTCCAGGAACTCCAGCTCGGATCATATGTGGAAGCAGGTAGATGAGCACAACTCCCACTCAGATTCCCTTTTCCTGCCCGGTTTTCATGCAGTGTGTCCTTGTTCTGCTGATGTGGCATCTTCATTGCCCAGGTCCCCACTATGCTAAGGCAGTGAATGCCTGAAATTCAGGTTTCCCAAATCTGCTATTACTGGGTTTGTTCCTTCTTTGATCCTTCCTAGAGCTCCTCGCTTGCGGAAACCACGCCCTCTCAAATGCGCAGCGTATTTCCTCTGCCACCACTTCATCATTCCTGCCACTTGTTTCCTTGGACTTGAAATCACTGCCCAGAAGTGAAAAAAGTGGGGGAGGGAGGGTAGAGGGGATTGAGAGGAGGCCGCAGAGATCACGAGAGGATGTATCAGAGTTTGTCCTCCTGAGTAGCAGAGAACAGCGGTGCCACACAGCACAACCTGGAGACTGGGGACCATGATGGCTGTCAGGGGCTGGCTTCCCGCCTGTGTCATAAAGCGAAGCCAGGGCAGGCACTGAGCTGATACCTGATACAGCTTTTTCTCTAGCAATGATAATGACTGTCATTTCCTTTCTGATTGAAGCATTAACATTTTAGTGTTGTAAGTGTTGCCTTTGTTCTACCTTAGCATAGTATTTTAGTGAGAAGTTAGAAGAGGCTGTCCTGGGGGCTGCTATTCAGAAAACTTCCCTTTAAATGGATTATAAATTAAGTCGTCCTTTGATGTGCTCACTGCCTTGTTGTGTCCGCTTTCAGGCCATGCACAGATTGTCCATCTCCTTTTAGAAAGAAATAAGTCTGGAACCATCCCATCCGACAGCCAAGGAGCAACACCCTTGCACTATGCAGCTCAGAGTAACTTTGCCGTAAGTAAAACATGACAGTTCTCTTTTTTCTTGATTGAATTTTTATTTTGATATCATTATAAATTCATATGCAGTCGCAAGAAATAAAAGAGCAAGATCCCATGTACCCGTCACCCGGTTTACCCCAGTGGGAACATCTTGCAAAAGTATGAAACAATATCATAAACAGGAAATTGGCATTCCTACAATCCACTGATCTTATCCAAATTTCAGTTTTACACGTACTCGTTTCTGTGTTTGTGTCGCAATTATATTTTAACAGTTACTCACACTGTTAACTCTGGCTATGATGCGAGGGATAGTCTTCATCTTTGTAAAGTTGTTAGTCATGGGAAATTTTAAGACCATTTTTACATTAACTGTTCAGTGTAACATTTTGTTCTGTGTAAGTACATTTCCTCTTCTGGTTCATTTTATGGCACTAAGGTTTTATATGCACTGTGTTCAGCTATCTGTAATTGTCCTGAAAGCAATATGGCAAAGCCTTAGAACGGGTCCAACCTTGCCTGGGACCCTGACTCCACTCTCTGCTGGCTGGATGACCTGGCACAAGTTTCTTTAGCTCTTGAGTCTTAGTTTCTTCATATGTAAAACGAGGATAACTATACCTATTCCTTCAGGATTGTTGTAAGAATTAGAGAAAACTTGTAACCAGTGCCTAGTGTAGTTCTTGGTACAGAGCAGGTACGCAAGAAATGCCACACATTCTTACTATTGCTAATGCTAATAATTTTATGCATTATACAGCTGAGAAAGCAAAAATATGAATTATTATTTCCAAAGATATTGAATATTATTGCTAATTCTTCCCTTGGCACCCTTTGTGGTTTACAGAGCATTTTCTCATCTTTGTGTCACTCAGTCTAGCCAGCAACATAATAACAGCTAGGCTGCTTCAGCTCTCTGAGGAAGTGGCCACCAAGAACTAGAGACTCATCCAAAGACGCACACGTCAAAGCAGTCAGAGTTGATTTTACTGCCTTCTACGTGGGTGTGTGTAGTAAAAATTTTGGTTTCATTAAATAATAAGAATGCTATCATGAGCAGAGCGTAATTCCATCTTCCTGACCTCCCCAGTGCATCACTGAATACATTGAAGCAATCTGAGAAGATTGCTAAAATATCTTATTTTTCTACCTTTGTTTCTCTCTATTACTCAGAGCAACTATAACTATGGTCCTTCCTTCTTGGCATTTCTAAAACTTTATTACCTAGACTTTTGGTAAGCCATTCTCTTCTACAGTGTCCTATCATTCTATTATCTCAGACCCTTTCTTGCTCCAGAAAGATAAGAAATTCACTGGCCCAGCCTAATCAACCTGTGGAAATCAGAATTCAATTCATACTTCAATACAGGCCTGTGAGAGGACATGGTATCCCTAATTTACAGAGGAAGAAACCAAGGTTTCAAGAGATTAAATGACTTGCCCAAGATCTTGAACTCGAGTCTTAGACTCCAAATTTAACACGTGCACAGATACTAACAATTAAGTGACTAAGGCTATTGGGAGTAAGAAGGAATGGCAGAACATTATGCTTATTCAAAGAAATACTTGCTCTGAATAATCTGCCGATTACAGAGATGATTTTTCAATAATTCTGCAAATCTTCTAAGCTCAGTTTCAAGCCCCTTGATCTTCTTGGACTCTGTTCACTCACAGGAGGCTGTAATTCCCTGTTTAGAAAACAGCAACAACAAGACCCACAAAACCTTTGCAAACATTCATCATTAAGAAAACATACCCAACAAAGAAATGTTTACAAATTAGTAAAAAGAAAGCAAACCAAAACATTACCAACATTTTTTAATATAAACTATTATTTATTAAATTATGATAACGTTTCTATCATAATCAACAAGTACAATGTAGTGGATACTATTAGTTATCAACTTTTAAAATCCATTCGCTTATTCCAATCTAGCATGTACTAGGCATACACCCTAGATCCCAGGAGCACGACCCTATAATGCCTCAGCAGCTCAACAATGAGTTTTAAGACTAGGAAGCAATGTGTGCAGTGGAAAAGTGCTGTGATTGAGCTCTGGGTTCTACTCCTATATCTGCCACCAATGTTTGTATGACCTTGAACCTAAATTTGTTCATCTGGAAAATGAAGGGTTGCATTAGGTGAGCCCTCGAATTTCTTCTTGCTTTAGAGTATTGAGCGTCAACACTTTATACATTTTTGGCCAGCTCACAGCCTCCAGAATTTTTCTTTTCCTGAAACTGTTTTACTTCCATTCAAGTAGAAGTTACCATGATCTCCCTAAAAGTTTGTAAGCATCTGAGGCTCAAAGAAAGAAACAATTTAAAATGCTGCGACTATTAGCTCCCATTAAAATTGTTAGGCGCTGCTATCAACAATAGCCAAATTATGGAAAGAACCCAAGTGTCTATCGACTGATGAATGGATAAAGAAGATGTGGCATATATGTGACGGAATATTACTCAGCCATAAAAATGAATGAAATCTTGCCACTTGCAACAACATGGATGGAGCTAGAGAGTATTATGCTAAGTGAAACAAGTCAGTCAGAGAAAGACAAATACCATATGATTTCAGTCATGTAGAATTTAAGAAACAAAACATATGAACATGGGGGAAAAAAAAGAGAGAGAGAGGCAAACCATAAAACAGACTCTTAACATAGAGAATAAACTGAGGGGTACCAGAGGAGAGGTGGGGGGAAGGATGGGCTAAATGAGTGATGGGCATTAAGGAGGGCACTTGTTATGTTGAGCACCGGGTGTTGTATATAAATGATGAATCACTAAAGTCTACTGAAACTAATATTATACTCTACGTTAAGTAACTGGAATGTAAATAAAAACTTGAAACTAAAAAAAAGAATAAAATAAAAAAATAAAATTGTCAGGCACTATTAGAATTATTGTGGGGTCCGAATTTTTGTGTGATTCCATAGAGGAAGGACCTTGCATATAGGAATTGCTAAATAAATATTTGTTTAAATGAATTGAACACTGTATTTCTCCGTAGCCACACATCATTATTAATAATAATGCAATAAATGCATTAAATAAATAATTAAATTTATAATAATGTAATAAATGCATTAAATTTTTTTAAATAATAGTAACAAAACCACAACAAGAGAATGTATTAACCACTTCTATAGGTATGGCTGAGTATACAGGTCACTGCATGTAAAATGTCCAAGAAAACCTAAACTTTAATGTTGCTCATGACACCAAATACTTGTTAGTTTAACTGTCACTTATCTATCAAAGAGTGACCTATGAAATTTTAAAACTTGGTTGAGGATGATCATTCTCAATTATGAGGATGTTGAATGAGGGAGTTAGGTTATGTGTTTGGAAACTAAACACATAGGAAACTAAAACTAATATATAAAAAAAGAGGATTGTTACTTTCAGTGGAAATTGTAGTTTCATTAGTCATAAAAAGATAATTTCATTTGATTCAAAATCAGGGGGAAAATCCTTTGTGTCTTAGCGGAAGTCACATATAACACTGGCTTTATTTACCATAGCAAACGCTACCGTCTTGTCTCAATTTTTTTTTAATGAAGTTTTCTTACAGGAAACAGTTAAAGTATTTTTAAAACATCCTTCAGTGAAAGATGATTCAGACCTCGAAGGAAGAACATCCTTTATGTGGGCTGCTGGAAAAGGCAGTGATGATGTCCTGAGGACTATGCTGAGTTTAAAATCTGACATTGATATTAACATGGCAGACAAGTATGGAGGTACAGGTAAGCGGCAAACATGTTGGGTTTGCTTTCTTTTGGGTCCCAGAGTGAATAGGTGCCCTAAAACTTGTACAGTAGTGCCTGAAATCATTGTTCCTACTCTAATATTGTTTAACTTTCATTTGTCCTTTTTAAGGTTAGGCTACCAGGATATCACTCCAAAACCTTTATTTCCTCCAGGTTTGATGGCTAAAATTAGCCTATGTTTCCACCAGGTGAATGGTGGTATTTGGTTTAAAACTCTTGTTGCTCCTGGGTGTTATATGCAACTGATGAATCACTAAACTCTACCTCTGAAGATAATAGTATGCTATATGCTAATTAATTGATTTTAAATAAAAATTTAAAATTAAAAACAAAAAACCAACTCTGGTTGCTCCTGGGTGGCTCAGTCACTTAAATCTGACTCTTGATTTCTGCGCAGGTTATGATCTCAGGGTCCTGGGATCAAGCCCTGCGTCAGGCTTCCCATGGGGATTCTTTCTCTCCTCCTCCCTCCACTTGCTCTCTCTCTTTCAAATAAATAAATAAGTCTTTTAAAAAAATAAAATTTAAAAAAATAAAACTCTGGTTACTCCTTAGACATGATTATAGGAACTCTTCTTATTAATCTTTGTGTAAAAATAAATAAATAAACCTGTACTTAAAACTATGTATATTTAGTAGTTATCAATTTTATTTTCAAAAATTTAGAATTAGGGGTGCCTCGGTGGCTCAGTCATTAAGAGTCTGCCTTCGGCTCAGGTCATGATCCCAGGGTCCTGGGATCGAGCCCCGCATCGGGCTCCCTGCTCAGCAGGAAGCCTGCTTCTCCCTCTCCCACTCCCCCTGCTTGTGTTCCCTCTCTTGCTGTGTCTCTCTCTGTCAAATAAAAAAAAAAAGAAAACAAAAATTTAGAATTATATTTTAAGGAATGCACATATCTAAGTATGTTCTCACCAGTCTTCTTTAATGTGCTCTTTTCTCAGATTTGAAGAGCATTCCCTCCTCCCAAATCTCCCATTTTAGAGATAAGCTCCCTTCGAGAGCGAAGCTTCAGAGCTTCATGTTAGATTTGCATCAAAAGCTCTCAGTAGATGCTTCTTTCAATCTCTTTTTCTAATAAGAGAGCACTTTGTGCATTGGTTAATAAGAGAGGTATGAATTTTTTAGCATTCATTGTCAACTTGAAAGTCTCTACCTCGTGTACTATATCCTAATTGCAAGTCCGAAAAAGAAAGAAGATCACACAATAGCACAACAACACAGAATAAAAACTCAGCTGCAGGCTTCTTGATGTTATGTTTTCTTATTTGTAGAAACATAGTGGAGCCATTTACACCTATCTGTTGTCCTGGATAAGATCTTTCTCGGCTGCCAAATCTACTGATGCAACACTTGGGGAGCAGGATTATACCTAATAATCTCCCTCCCTATACCTAAGCCATCACCCTTCTAAATTATTTTTTAAAGAGTTTTTGGGTAATATCAATTTTAATAAAAGCTTTAACCGTCAAAAGTATTTCTTTATCAAAGCTTCGCAGTGGACCTTAAGGTTCTTAAAGAAGGGTATAGTGCAGACATGTAGGACCCTGAGTTTATAAATGGTCTGAACATTTCATTTTTTGTCAGACTTCCATTAGTATGGAGCCTTTCACTTTCTCACTAGCTTTGCTTTTAGTTTAACTTTTTCATGTATTTTAATAAAGTATGGGGAAGGATACTTCCATCCTTTTGACCAAAGGTGTCTTTCTGATGTGCACCATGGTTGGAGTTCAGACATAAATTCTTCTCAGATTCATTAATTCCCTGGCTGTTTCTCCTAAGGGGATTTTATTATATGTCAGACATGCCTTCCTGACATTTCTCCTCTTTGAAAGTGATTTTCTCTCCATCATCCCCCTACAGGGTTGTTTTTCCTTCCCATGAAAAAAAGAGTTCTCATCAACAGCAATGTACAGACATTATTTGGATCTTGATTCAAATAAACTATAAAAAAAAATTATAAAACTGTCAGGACAGTATGGACACTTTCTGGATATTTGATATTACAGAATTTGTGTGCATGTTTTTTAGGTATGATAATGAGATTAGCCTTTCTTTGCAGTGCCAGGGCCAGGGCTCTGCAGACTCTCATTTCCCCTTTGCCAGCAGGTGCCATGTTAGAACCCTCCCATAGGGGCAGTAGAGGGAAACTGGAAAGCTGGAAGAACTGGATCACATCTTCCTGTTTGCTTACTACTCTCATTTTGGTTTCCTGTTCCTGTCAGCATCACCCTAGTAGGTCTTCAACACAGCAGTGATAGTTTGTTCCAGTGGCGATAGTTAATTTCACTTGGCCATTTCTCCAGCGCTCACAGTACCAGCCCCAGAGCACCCTCCTCAGAGGCACCAGCACCAGCCAAGCAGAGCCCCTGCTCAGACGTCTGAGTTTCCACCCCACAGGGCTCCTCTTCTAGGCTTTTAAGTTTTAATAATTCCATCTAATTCTTTTCGTTCCCCTGGCCCTAGAATTGCCGGTTGTCTTCTGCATGTACCACCTCTGTGATCCCTTAGTGTTCCTTTTTTGCTTTTTCCTTCTTCGATCCATAGCTAACAATTCCTCATTTTGAACTCTCTCTGTTAAAGTATCTCGCATGGTTTCTGTCTCCTAAATAGACACTGATACAGTGGTTGTGTAAAAAAACAAACAAACAAACAAAAAAACCCACATCATTGTATTTTAGATAGACTTACTAAAATATTTACAAATGAAAGGATATGACTCTGGAATTTTATTCAAACCAATTAGAAGTGAGGACAATGGCTGGCAGTTAGATGAAACAAGACCAGGCATCTGCTGATCATCCTTGAAGCTAGGGAATGGCTATATTGAGTTCTCTAGATTATTGTCTTTTCTTTTGAATATGTTTGAAATTTTCCATAACAAAAAGTTAAATAAAAAATTTAGGGCTCCTATGTAAATTTGTGACACCTTCTCAAAGAGAGCAACAGTATTTAAATCTAAGGTTTTTTTAAAGTAATGTAAAGGCAAATAGACAGAAATGGGGAATTTCAATTAATAAGAAAATGAATTCTATCATTTGCTTAATTGGGATTTTGTGGTGGGGTGTTTGCTTGTTGTTTTTTTTTTGACATTGACATCTGAACAGTATTTATTACGTACTGATGCCACATCACAGAATTGTAGAATTTTAAAATTAGAAAGTACGTTAAAATTAAATCTAGTCCAGGGTTTTCCAAACCATATTCTTCAGAACAACAGGTTTCTATAGAGGGCTGAAGTGTTGCCAAGGGGGGCAGGTACTTAAGTGGGTGACCCTCCACCCCCGCTTTAGTCAGAACCACTCAACTCTTACCAGTTTTGTATGATGAGTGTTTTATAAAACTTCATTTGGGGGCAGATGTATTCTTATCCTCTTAAAATGTGAAAGACTTTCACCAAACTCTCATAGATGTAGCACACTTAATCTGCCTTACAACATTCTCACCAGTGGTCTGTCAGCCTCCCGTTACATAGCTCCAATATGGAGAACCCACTAATTCCATCTTAAACTAACTCCTGTCAGACTATTCTTCCTTACACTGAGGCCAAATTTGTCAAAGTGAATGTTCTGCTCTGTGCTGTCTTCCACATGGCAGCACCTAAGATACTTGAAGTCGCTCACACTCTTGTGAATCTTGTCTGGACCAAACTAACATTCAGCCATGTAGATCAGGGTCCTCCAACTCAAGTGCACATAAGAATTGCGACAGTGTTTGTTTAAATACAGATTCCCAGACTATACAGACAGAAATCTATTTCAGATCCTGTAAGTCCTATTGACTCCACCTCTAAAATATATCCTAAATCTTTCTGCTTCTCTTTGTCTGCACTCCTGCCAGCCTAGTTCAAGCCACCAGCATTTTTTACTGAGTCTCCTGCAATAGGGTTAGCTGGTTCTCACCTACTACAGTACATTCTCTTCAAAGCAGCTAGAGTGATCTGATTAAGGCACAAGTCAAATAGTCTCACTCACCTATGTGAAGTCTTCAGGCCCTTCATCACTGGGACCTGTGTGGCCACTTAGAATCTGGCCTTCTCTACCTTTCTGCCTTACTTCATTGTGCTGCAGCTTCCTTGCCTTCCTTAAGCACATAAACTCATTCCTGCCCTTGGACTAACTGTTCTCTTTGCTCGAACTACTCCCTCTCGAGATCTCTACATTGCTGTCTCTTTATGACCCAGGTCTCAACTTCAGTGTCAGCTCCTTAGTAAGGCTTTTTGTCACCATCAGTTAAAGTGGTCTCCCAGTCACTCTGCATATCAAGATACCTTTTATTACTCCAATCATACCATCTACCACCAATACTTTCTTGTTTATCTGTTCAGTTTTTATTTTGCTTCTCCTACTAGAATATCACCTTATCTATTTTGTTCTCTGCTGAATTCCCACCATCACATTCATACCCAGCTCATAGAAGGTTCTCAACAAATGCCCAGGAATAGGCATCCTGGGTTTGGTCCATGGATCACACTTTATTGAAAGAAACATTGTTCTAGGGCGCTTGGGTGGTTAAGTGACTGTGTTCGGCTCAGGTCATGATCCCAGGGTCCCAGGACCGAGTCCCGCATCAGGCTCCCTGCTCAGCAGGGAGTCTGCTTCTCCCTCTGACCCTCCTCCTCTTGTGCTCTCTCTCTCATATAAATAAATAAGATCTTAAAAAAAAAGAAATATTGTTCTAGGCATTATAGGGCCATGATACTTAGAAAGAACTGGCCCAGGCCTCTAGACAGTTCTGCTGGCAAACTCAGAATTTAAAGAGTGATGTATTTAAATAGAATTAAAAAGTAATCCAAAGAGTCCTGGCATAAGTCAAGCACTAGAGGGGAGTAACACAGGCACAGGTCAGCATAACCTGAAACCCACATAGAGTCAAAATTACTCTTTCAAACCCCATATGAAGGCACCAGAGAGGGGACCACTTTCCTTCTCAGGTTTTTTCTCCAATGTTGAAACAAATTGCTGTTTCTTAAATTGGGCCCGGAGGAAATCAGTGGCTTGCATTTAAAGCCATGTTGTATGAAAAATGCACTCGAGGCAGTGGGCTGTGCATACCCTCAGTACCACATGGGTGCGCAGACCGCCGGCAGGAATAGCGCGGCTCGGCAGCTGAAGGCCCAGTGGATTGACACTTCCCATCACACCAACCCTCGGGCATATGCTTATCGAGTGGGGTGGTGGGCAGAATTGCCTGCGTCATTTAAATCATTGCTCTTTGTCATTTTTTGGAAAGCATTTCAGACCATCAGGATGGAAAGGAAGAAACAGTGAGACAAGAAAGGTAGACGGACAGGGGGAGAGTGTGAGTAGTACCTATGACTAAAAAGGAAGACTGGAATCTATAGAAGTGAACGATAGAGAATCCTTAAGATTAAATTGCATTTAGGGGCACCCAGGTGGCTCAATTGGTTGAGTGTCTGCCTTCGGCTCAGGTCATGATCTCAGGGTCCTGAGATCAAGCCCTGCATCGGGCTCCCTGCTCAGCGGGGAGCCTGCTTCTCCCTCTCCCTCTGCTCTCCGCCCCCCCCCGCCGATGTGTGCACTCTCTCTCTCAAATAAATAAATAAAATCTTTAAAAAAAAGATTAAGTTGCATTTAGCCAAAATGATGAGGACCTCAGAAGAGGAAAAGATGCACAGTTAGAATAAGGAAAAGGTGAAGTTGTTATCAAAGAGTTCTTTGCTTTCTTTTGCTCCCTTTTCAGCCTTACACGCTGCTGCCCTTTCTGGCCATGTCAGTACCGTGAAGCTACTGTTGGAAAATAACGCTCAAGTAGATGCCACTGATGTCATGAAGCATACTCCACTCTTCCGAGCCTGTGAGATGGGACACAAAGATGTGATTCAGACACTTATAAAAGGTTGGTCATTAAGAGTGCTCCTACTAAATCACTCTCAAAAGGTAGGAATTCTTGCAGGCACTGTTGGAAACACAGCGTACATAGCAGAGGGCCACCTGGGTGGAAGGATGTAGGGAAGAGCGCCGCGTGCATGCACACACACACGCGCACACACCGCATGTGCAAGTGCACCAGGAAACCGGAGATCCAGTCCTAGCTCTGCCTGTTGGCAGTTGTGTGGTTTTGGAAAAGCCACTTCACCTGCCCGATCCTCAGTTTTACTTCGTATAAGAGAAAAATGACTCGTGCCCTGACCAACTTACAGGCTTATTGTAAAAATCTGAAGTAGATAGTGTACATGACAATATTTTGCTGAGAGTAAAGCATTTAAGGGACTGTGGTTATATTTTTCAGACTTCTTTTTGATCAAGCTCTCTATATTGGACATTTTCATTATATTTTTGCTTTTTCAGGTGGAGCGAGGGTAGATTTAGTCGATCAAGATGGACACTCTCTTCTACATTGGGCAGCACTGGGAGGAAATGCTGATGTTTGCCAGATATTGATAGAAAATAAGATCAATCCAAACGTGCAAGATTACGCAGGACGAACCCCTTTGCAGTGTGCTGCTTACGGCGGCTATATCAACTGCATGGCAGTGCTCATGGAAAATAATGCAGACCCTAACATTCAAGACAAAGAGGTAGAAAATCTAGACATTTTCTATATTGTTTGCTCCCAGTTGTTTAGAGTATTTCTTCTTCATTATCTAAAATAAAGTAAAACATTTTACCAAATAAAGAGGTCACTTACAAATTACCTGTTAATTAAAAATGAGTTTTATTTTTCTCTGTTTTCCTTCTAATTCTGTCTATATACCCATATATGCCATAACAAAGTCATAATACAGAATGGGAATAGTTTTATAACTTTCATAAGATATATATGCACGGTATGTGTGTACGTATGTGTTTACATATAGATATATGATATTTCACAAACCACATTTTGTTTTGTTCACTGAAAATCATCACCATGATTTTCTTATTTGGTGTATAATCTTCTGCATAATCATAGGTGCTGAGTTTTCCAAAGTTCTAGGAGCTTTATCTTTAATAACTCATTCAGTTCTCACAGCAGCTCTGTAAAGGAATTGCTATTATTATTCCCATTTACAGGTGAGAAAATTGAAGCTCATGGAGCTTACCCAAATACCCTAAGATGACAACAGCAGCAGGGTTGTTGTGGGAAGTCAGGGTCCAAACTATGCCCGTAACCCCAATTTTAGAATCAAGTAACTTCCTATGGCTGGGTACTTTTTCATTATTATAGATCATGTTTCATTGATCATTGCTGTGCATTTAACTTTTTTTATTGTTTCCTTAGAATAATTTCCCCTAAGTGAGATTATTTATTATTGGTATATGAATGTGATTGGGCTCTGATATATACTATTGAACTGATTTTTTTTAAAAGATTTTATTTATTTATTTATTTGAGAGAGTGCGTACCTGAGCAGGGGAGGGGCAGAGGGAGAGGGAGAAAGAGAATCCCAAGCAGACTCCCCACTGAGCACGGAGCCTGACTCAGGACTCCATTTCACGACCCTGAGATCATGACCTGAGCCGAAATCAGGAGTCGGTCGCTCAACCAACTGAGCCACCTAGGTGCCCCTGTTGAATGGATTTCTAAACCATGTGGGTTAATCTCCACTTTCCCAGCTATGTAGTATTGTATTGACTTCTCTCAGTTTAGCCAGTATTGATTTTTTTGCTACTTCAATTACATTAAGTCTTCAACAATACTAGCATATTATGTTTTCCAAGCCAGAAAATATATTTTCTATTAATTCATTCAATAAATATTTATCAAGATTGTTCCTATCTGTAAAAGTAACATAATGAAAAATATGTGAAATATGGTCCTTGTATCTATGTTATTAGAAATGAATCTTTTGTAATCTGTAGTACCTTTTACATTGTTTTTACAAGTTGCCGGTTTCTTACAGAAGTAGTATATACTAAGCTACTTTCCAGTTCCATTAGTTTTTTCATGTACTATTTTGGATTATCTGCATAAACAGCGTAACATTTGTGAGTAGTATGCCTTATTGAACTAACTGATACCTCCAATACAATATCGAATAGAATTGGTGATAGTTGGTATCCTTAATTCATTCTGGTTTCTCAAGGGGAAAGCTTGAAATATTTCACCATTGAATATGGTATTTGCTATAGGTTCCCTTATATTTCTAGTTGCTAAAAATTGGGGTTTTTTTATTCAGAATTAGCTGTTTAATTTTTGTCAGATACTATTTCTGTATCTTTCAAGATGATCACATGATTTTTCACCTCTTTGCTGTTAATGCGGTGAATTAAAAAGAGTCAGGAAGTAGTTCCTCTTATTCTCCTAAAGAATTTGTGTAACATTGGTATTACTTCTTTCTTAAATGTTTGGAAGAATTCCCCGGTGAAGTCATCTGGTCTAGTGGTATTCTTTGTGTAAAAAGTGTTAATAACTGATTCAGGGTCATTTATAATTACAAGACCATTCAGATTTCTAATTATTTTCTTTTCAGCTTTGGTAAGTTGCATTTTCTGAGAAATGTATCCATTTTATTAACATATGTGTTTGCATAAAGTTGGTCATATAATCACTTACCTTTTTTATGACTGTAGGACTTATAGTGATTTCCTCTTATTCATTTCATACATTGGTAATGTGCTTTGTCTCTTTTCTTTTTAAAAACATTTTTCATCTTATTCATCTTTTCAAAGGACTTCTTTGTTGATTTTCTATATTTTAAGTTGTTTACTATTTCATTGGTGTTTATTATTTCCTGCCGTCTACTTTCCTCGGGTTTGATTTACTATTTTTTTTAAAGATTCTTTTGATAAAAGTTTAAATCATTGATTTATTTCAATATTCATTTCCAGTATATATATTTAAGCATGCTTATTCTAAGCACTGCTTTAACTTTATCCTAAAAGTTTAGATAAGTTTTACCATCACTATAATTCAGCTCAAATATTTTCTAGTTTCTATTTTGATTTGTTATTTGACCCATAGATTATTTAGAAGTGTATTGCTTAATTTCCAGACAGTTGGGCATTTGCTCATTTTCTTTTGGTAAATGGTTATATTGGTTTCCTCTTGCTGTTATAATAAATTACCACAACCTTACTGGCTTAAAACAACACAAATTTATTATCTTACTCTTCTGGATGTTAAAAGTCCAAAATGGGTCTCACTGGGCTAAAAATCAAGGTGTTGGCAAGACTACAATCCTTTTCCAGGCTCTAGGGGAGAATCTGTTTCTTTCCTTTTCCAGCTTCTTGATGCTGTCCTCATTCCCTGGCTTATGGTCCCATTCTGCCATCCTCAAAGCTAGCAGTGACTGGCTGAGTCTCTCTCACACTGCATCACATCATACCCACCTCCTGCCTCCCTGCCTCCCTCCCTCCCCATATAATCCTTATATTGCGCCTATTCAGATAATCCAGGATAATCTCCCCATTTGAAGGTCAGCTGATTAGCAACCTTAATTCCATCTACAATTTTTTTTTTTTAAAGATTTTATTTATTTATTTGACATAGAGAGAGAGAGCACAAGTAGGCAGAGAAGCAGGCAGAGGGAGAGGGAGAAGCAGGCTCCCCGCAGAGCGGGGAGCCCGATGCAGGGTCCTGGGGTCATGACCTGAGCCAAAGGCAGCCGCTTAACCGACTGAGCCACCCAGGTGCCCCTCCATCTACAATCTTAATTTCCCCTTTCCAATAACATAACAGGGTTACAGATTCCAGAGATTAGGACATAGACATCTTTGCAAAGGCATGCATTTATTCTGTCTACCACACTGATTTGTAACTCAAACTCTACTGTGGTCTAAAAACAGAATAACAATTATTTTCTTTTATTTCAGAATCATTTTAATTCTTCAAAGTCCTTTGAGGCTTTCTTTGTGGCCCAGCATATGATTGATTTTGGTAAATGTTCTATGTACACTTGAAAAGAATACTGGTTGTATCATAGTTGGATGCAATGTCTTATATGTATCACTTAGGTCAAAGTTTTTTACTGTATTGTTCAGGTCTTCTGTATCTTTACTGTCCTTTCATTTATTTGTTCTATGAACTATTATAAAAGGTGGGTTGAAAATCTCTCACTGATTATGGATTTGACCATATCCCCTTTTAATTTTGTCATTTTTTGTTCTGTATATTTAAAAGCTGTGTTATTAGATGCATACAGATTTAGGATTGTGGTATCTTCCTCTTTGACTCCTTTAAAACTATGAAATATCCCTCTTGTGTATCTAACAATGCTTCATGCCTTTTTTATCTTCCATGATACTGAATTCTTTTAAGAATATCAGTCATTTATTTTGTAGAATCTCACTCATTTTGAGTTTGCCTTATGATTCCTCATAATTAGATTTAAGTTTTACATTTTTGGTTGGAGTATTATACAAGTGATATTGAATCCTTCTCAGGATATCACCTCTGGAAACACATGGTGCCTCTTAACATAGTATTAATTTTGATCACTTAGTTAAGATACCATCCATTTTCTCCACTGTGTATTTGAGTGGAGAAATATTTTCCCTTTTTATAATTAAGCAATTTGGGAGCATCGTTTGTATTTTTGAGTTAGCATCAATAACTATGTGTCCAAAAATACCTATTCCAGATATACCTGATTTTTGTTCGTGCTTATAGGGAAGAACAGCTTTGCACTGGTCCTGTAACAACGGATACCTTGATGCCATTAAATTACTACTAGACTTTGCTGCTTTCCCTAATCAGATGGAAAACAATGAAGAAAGGTAAGCTGTTGATAAAAAGAATGTATTGTTGTTCAACTCACTGCCTTTCTGCTCTATTAAAAAACCTCAAGTTAAGATACTAGTTCAGGAGTACTAAGTATACTCATAAGGAAACGCTACACTAAGAAATCCTAAATGAGAAGAAAAGAGCAAAAGTTCCCTGTAGTGTTGATTTAGAATCATGGGATTTAAAAATTATTCAGAACTTTAGATTTACCTCTGGCAAGCTCACAGACTACAGATGAGGAAAGACATTCTTGTGGCTTGTGGCTGGCATAACGTCAGGGGAGTCCTAACGGACCAGGCCTAGGAACGGGTCATATGTTGAAGACATTTCTCTTGATGAACAGGATAGTGGACCGAGGTGCCACCATGTGGCATGAAGAAATAAGGAGAAGGTGAGGTGACTGAATAACCCAGGATTCACAGAGCTAGGCTGGAGTTATGCCCAAGGGCCCAGGCTCCATATAAAGGACCAGACACAGTGTGAAGTCTAAGCAGGAGAGATTCTTGGTGGTCTTGGATCTAAAAAGATTCTGATCACCTGTAGGTGACAACCAAGTTTGTGACGAGACTTCCACACCTGAGCTCCACCCAGCCAGGTCTGTGCCTTGGTTGTCATCATTCGTGGATGCTGGAACTGCAGTGGCTCCCGCTGTGACACCATGTCCCAACCCCCCCTCCCCATAGCTACCACCAGTTCTTTCAGTAGATGGGAGACCTTGTGGAGAAGGGGGGACTCTCTCTAGGCCATCTGCCACAGAGAAACCACTCCTCCTTTCTGGGCTGAACCCCTTCATCTCTCCCACTTCTTTCAGACCCTCTCCCCATTAATGATGGCCTCCACCTGTTATTTTCTGAGGTCTGAGGTTTGTCTTCTCTGCCTGTAAAGCCCTCCTTCTCTTGGATTATCTGCACTGCCCCATTTCCCCTTGCTCGTGGGTCGTGCTTTCACAGTCTGGCTTCCATCCTCCCACGGATGCTGAAACTGTGCTGAGTGGTCACTGGCAGACTCACTGATAAATCCTCCGTCGGCCCCTCTGTCTCCTCTCACTGGCCTGTCTGCATCACCGGGTTCTGTTGACCCCCCTTCTTTACCTTACTGAGACTGTATCTTCTCTAAGCTTCTGTGACAGTATATTTTCCTGATTCTCTGCCAGTCACATCTGCTCCTTCTCCATTTATTTCGGCTCCTTTTCCATTTTTTATTTTTTAAATATAAACACTCTTCAGGGTCTGGGCCTTTTTCTCCCAGCCCATCTCCTTGGGCCCTCTGACCTACCACCAAGGCTTCGATAGTCACATGGGGGCTGGTGAGTTCTAAATCTGTCCTTCAGACTCAGTGTCTCTCTTTGGTTCCCACTGTCACCTACTCTTCGTTACCAGCACCGTCATGTAAATCTTGCCCTCTGACGTGTTCCTGGGACTGTCGGAATGCCTCCTCGCTGTTTTCCTCCCTTCGAACTTCCCCTCATTCAGTTCATCTGCTTCCAAAGTAGCCTCCCTAAATCACATTTCTAACGTAATTGTTTATCATGTCCTTCCTCTGCTCAAATGGAGTCTCACCTAAGAAGATTGTCCTGATCCCAGAGGCATGTGTTCCAAACGATGTTCTCCCCTACACTGTGAGTTCATATAGCACTTGGCACATTTCACTTTATATTATAATTTTATTTAATCTGTCTTCCATATTAGCGACGAACTCCTGAAAATCATTGTCATCTCTGTGTTGTTCACAGTGCTTTTCAGGAAGTAGATGCTCAGTAAAGAACTGTTGCATTGTTAAGTTGATGCTTCCAGGCTCCCAGTAGCATCCCCTGCTACATACCTGCATTAGAAACTTCTGGAATTCTTTGAGTACATACAGAATTAGATAAATCAGACTAGTATGTCTTACTTTGAGAGGGGTTCTATAAAGAACTCACTCTCTCTATTATCATCAAATGACAACTGTAAAACCAAAAAGACTCGAAGATTTAGAGGTTTGGACATTCAAGGAAGCTGGAATGCCAAGCAGAATCCTCAGAGCTGAGGTTTTGACGTTAAAACAGATATGTGAGAGAGCAGAAGATTTCTCTCTTTGAAACACTAAAAAAATACAAAAGGGAAAGATTAAGAATCCTAAGAATTAGTGGTGACTTATTTCTATTATAAAGGATTTATGGGGTACCTGGGTGGCTCAGTCAGTTAAGCGTCTGCCTTCGGCTCAGGTCATGATCCCAGGGTCCTGGGATCAAGCCCCACATCGGGCTCCTTGCTCAGCGGGAAGCCTGCTTCTCCCTCTCCCACTCCCCCTGCTTGTGTTCCCTCTCTAGCTGTCTCTCTCTCTGTCAAATAAATAAGTCAAATCTTAAAAAATAAAATAAAATAAAGGATTTATTCTGTAACAGTATTTACTGCCTGACTGCTGTTTTCTTAGGAAACAATAAAAAAACATTTATTTTTGTAATTCAGGTCCCATTTTTATGGTAAGACTTGAATTTTAGGCCTAAGGAAGAGTCTGAATTAAGGTGCCTCCTGCCTCCTAGAGTAAGCATATGTTAATTACAGACCAAAGACCGCAGGAAAAATCCTCCTAACTGTACTTGCCAATCTGTAGATGAAGATGGACAGTGGCAATATCCCAGTCTCCTCTGATGTTTCATCAGCAACGCACCTTGATGTACAAATGTCAGAACCCAGTGCTGCCTTTTATGTTTATTGACATTCCAGTTTAGGCATTCCACTCATCCCATCAGACCAGTCCTGCTTGGCAAGTCCAATTGTATCTTGTATCTTGTCTCCATCTACATTGTTTCTTGACTGGTTACCATCAATGTAGTGCTAATTTTTACTTCTCATGCATTGACACCAACCACTTGATGTGCACTGTATAGACATAATTTTTGCCAACTACTGCTGGCTTTCAGTCAATAACTATCTGACAGCCACACTCTGACATTGATGGAAATATTCACAGTACTTGAATGTTTCTAAATTGAATTTGGGGTGAAGAAGGACTCAGTAGGAATAATTACAATACGGTCAGTGCCTAAACACTAAGGCATAGACTTCAGTCTTAAAATCTTTCTAGATATTTGGACTGTGTTTCCCTGAATCAAAAATTGGTGGAGAATCCTAATTTGAATAAACCAATTATAAAAAAAGACATTTTTGAGAAAATCGGGGAAATTTGTATTTGGAATGGGTACTAGATTTTGCTGAGGAATTCCTGTTAATTTTGCTAATACCGTAATGACATTGTGCTTATGTCCATATTATTTATTGATGAAAACTGAAATGCAGAGAGATTAAATAATAGAGGAGTTCTAGGATTTGCTTTAAAACAGTTCAGCAAAAATAATAGGGAAGGGGTTAGAGGAAGCAAATGTGGCAGAAATGTTGCTACTTGTTAAATTTGGGTAATGAGCATATAAATGGTTATGCTATTCTCTCTACTTTTGTTTATGCTTGAAGTTTCTCATAATAAAAATACATAGTTTTTCCATGATAAAGGTATTTAAAATATTTGAAATGCAATTTTCCATCCAGAAGCCCTGAGAGATCTAGTAAAGGCAGAGGTCGGGCCTTACGTTCATAAACCAGATTTTGATAATCCTGCTTGTATACTGTGTGAGAGACGCTCCATATTAGTAATTATAGAAAAGATGATCAAGCTTACTAAATACATATGTTATTTGCACATTGGTTTGAGAAGCAGTTTCATTCTGTAGGAGGTTTATACTCAGGAACTGATAGATGTGCTATGGGCAGATGACTGAACAGGGAGTCGTATGGTCTTAGTTCAGGTGTGGGTTCTGCAGGGAACTAGTTACATAACCTTCTGCAAGTTGCTTAATCTTTCTGGATCTGTTGACTCATTTATAAAAGGAAGGAGATAAACTAAATGACCTCTAAATTTCCATTTAGCTCTACTATTGTGGAGTTCTTTGACTCTGATTGTTTTTTTCCCATTGGGGAGAGTACATCATGAAAGGCATTTTAGAATACAGAGTGATTACACTTGATCACTGTATCCCTGTATTATACACCCGAAACTAATTTAGCACTCTATGTTAACAACACTGGAATTAAAATTAAAAATAATAATAAATTTTTAAATAGAATATATAGTGAAATATTTTTAAGTTCTTCTGAATTTACAGGATGCCGTCTCCTTAGAAATAATGTTTTAAAGTTTATGTAGGCACCATTACTTTATGGCCTTCTGGTCCCTGGACAGTAGTGGCAAATCGAGATGTCCTAAAATGAGTTTCTTCATTTTAGCATTTGGGACTTCTTCCTGAATTCACTTTCCTTCTAGAAGTGACTAAATCACCCTTTGCTTATATTGAAAAATCTCCTCCTTTTATGTCTGAGTATGACTGTCAGGTGAGTTTTGAAAACAGAAAATTTCTATCATCACCAAATGATTTTCTGTGTGTAATCATGCATCTGTATAATCGTCAGTGTTTCCACCTCATAAATCAGCTGATTATTTCTTCCTAAAACCTCTGATTGCTTTGGATGAGTAACAGCCACCTACACAGGACTCAGACCCCTGGCCACCATTGGGTGGTCATCACTACTGGTTTGGGCCCTATGGGAATGATAGTGATGATGCGCGACCGTGGTGTCACCAACCCTGCGGCAAGGGTGTCCTAGCATAAGAACGACAGCAGCTGACATTTACTAATTGCTTCTTTGATGCCAGGCACAGTGTTATCTCTTTATATTTATTATTTCCTTTCCTCCTCGTGCCAAGTCTGCAATGATGAAAGGTAAGTGGGTGAAGAAGTGACAGCATTACCATGATTGGAAGGTAGAATTGGGGTTTTGTTTTGTTTTGTTTTTTACTTCAATGTTTGTATTTTTCGCACTGTTTGAATTCTTTAAATATGTGTCATTATTGCAAAGTAATCATTTAAGAAAAATAATATACCTGCCAAGAGAAGAATGCTGGTTAATTCTTTTTCTTTTTTTTAAGATTTTATTTATTTGACAGACACAATGAGAGGGAACACGAGCAGGGGGAGTGGGAGAGGGAGAAGCAGGCGCTCCGCTGAGCAGGGAGCCCGATGTGGGGCTTGATCCCAGAACCCTGGGATCATGACCTGAGCCAAAGGCAGACGCTTAACGACTGAGCCACCCAGGCACCCCGAATGCTGGTTAATTCTAAGGGTGGGAATACAAATGACCATTGTTATGTTCGTCTGTGTATTTATCTGATTATTTTATATTTCCAAAAATAGAAAAGATATATTATAAGAAAGGAATTTGCCTAAAATTATACATCTAGAAAGTAGCCAGTTGAGATTAAAATATATAACCATCTGACAATACAACTCATCCTTTCTAAATAATATATTTGTCAAAAAGGTATGCACAGTGTACAAAATTTAAAAGGCATGAAAACTAAGTGTCCCTCCCACCCCTGCCTCTGAGACAACCAGCATCCTCCCCTTGGACATCACTGTCACGAGTTTCTTGGTAAACTTCTAGAGATATATTTTACATAGATAAGCATACAGGGATATGTTCTTTTTTCATGCAAATGGGGCATGCCATAATACTGCTCTGGGCTTTTTTTTTTAAAGAATTTTATTTTTTTTATTTTTTTAAGATTTTATTTATTTATTTGAGAGAGGGAGAATGAGAGACAGAGAGCATGAGAGGGAGGAGGGTCAGGGGGAGAAGCACACTCCCCACTGAGCAGGGAGCCCGATGCAGGGCTCGATCCCGGGACTCCAGGATCATGACCTGAGCCGAAGGCAGTTGCCCAACCAACTGAGCCACCCCAGGCACCTCTGCTCTGGGCTTTTTTAAAGATTTATTTATTTTAGAGAGAGAGAGAGAGAGAGAGACCTGGGGGGAGGGGCAGAGGGAAAGAGAGTCTTTTTTTTTTAATTAACATTTAATGTATCATTTGTTTCAGGGGTACAGGTCTGTGATTCATCAGTCTTACACAATTCACAGCGCTCACCATAGCACATACCCTCCCCAGT